ATATAATATAAGCTCTGGCGGACTTGGTTCTATGGTAGGTCTTAAAGGGTTAACGTTTCAGAGCAGCACCTCTGAGGAGTTGATGGAAGCTGCAACAAGGCCCAGACTCAGTTTAACGTTCACATCAGCTCCATTCAGGCTCCGAGTGGAAGCAGCTGGTTTGTTCACTTGCACAGCGTTAACGTGTTTCCTGGTTTTCTGATGCAGAATGGGATTAAGCTGAAGAAGACTGCAGAAGAAGAGGAGGATGGGATGATCTCCAATAAAAAGCCGAGGAAAGCGACACTGGCTAAAGATAAGCTGTATGGATGCTTTGTCAAGGTAATTGTTTGCGTGTCTTTCAGCTGCGTGTCCGTTCTTGTTGTACTTACTGCAGTTCAGTCATCACACTGCTGGTCACTGGCGTTACGCGATGAGTCACGAGAGCGTCTCGTTCAGGAAACGGAGAGAAATGGCTACAAAAACAATGCTGCGGTCCCCAAATCTGACCAAGCAGCAGGCATGTCGTCGCATCAACCTCCACCTTCGTTGTAGCGTTCGTGTGCGATTGCAGAAACTGAGTGGACGTGAAGAAAAGTACAAAGAAATGTAAAAAAAACTGACCGTAACAAAGAGCAGGAACCCGGCTGGCACGGCTTATAAAACACGACCACACAGTAACCGCAAAAGCATAAACAGCGTCAACGACGTCGGCCATTTATGTAGTTCACATCGTAGGCTCTGCAGAGTTTCCCCACAGAAGTCTACAGCGGGCCTTACAGTGGGACATTACGGCACTTTTGTGCACGACATGGACACTTATTGTGTTTTTAAATGTAGTTTCTTTTATTCACACCAACAAACAAACGCCTGGCTCTTCTTTCAGTCTGCCACGCTGCTGTCTGGTCAGGAGCAGCCCGAGCCGAAAGCCTCCAGCTCAGATGACAGCAGCAGCTCAGATGAGGAGGATGAGCAGAGGATGGATCTCTCCAGCACCACCAAGTAAGACAAACACAACATCTGATCTCATCAGCAGCTGAGACTTGGAATTGTATTCAGACCTTTCATCTGATAAGCTACATCGTGAGGTTTCTGACTCTCTGCAGGCTTTCTGACACTGACCTTATGAAGGTTTGTGGAGGACGCACAGCTCACAAGTAAGACGATAAGATTTGTAGAATTCAACATGGAAGAAACATCAAAGAACTGTAAAAAAGCATAACCCAGTTTTCTGTGCTTCTGTTATTTTAGGGGAGCCAGGCACGGCTTGACCATGAGCGCCAAGTTAGCCAGGCTGGAGCAGCAGGAGGCCGAGTTCATGGCCAAGTATGGAAAGAAGAACCAACCAGCAAGTGCTCCTCCTCCAGCCTCCCGTTTAGAGACGCAGGAGGAGATGACGGCAAGCAGAAAAAAGATGAAAATGAATGAGATGAGTAGTGATGGAGTGTGTGAAACTCCCACAACAGATGTTCAACCTAAAAAGAAAAAGAAGAAGAAGGAAAAGAAGAGCGCTGATCCCGAGGAAAGAACTGATGAGGATTTGATCCGTGTAGAAAACTGTGAGGCAGACGATTCGCACAAGAA